CACGGCGGAAGAATCCACATGGCTATGGACACAAATCAAAGCCGAAGCTCGGCGCGACGCCGAAGCCGAGCCGGCATTAGCCAGCTACTTGTACTCGACTATACTCTCTCACTCTTCGCTTGAACGTTCACTCTCCTTCCATTTGGGAAATAAGCTTTGTTCTTCCACGCTCTTATCCACGCTCCTTTATGATCTGTTTCTCAATACTTTCTCTAATGAGCCTGAGCTACGCGCCGCCGCTTCCGCTGACCTACTCGCCGCTCGCTACCGTGACCCTGCTTGTGTTTCCTTCTCTCACTGTTTGCTTAACTACAAAGGTTTCCTTGCTTGTCAGGTCAGTGATTATTTTTTCACCTTATGGATTCTATATATGATGCTGTAAAATTGGCTCTTCAAGAAAGATTGGGACTTTTGTGAAAGTTTTCTGGAAAGAGAGGGACTTTTCAGTAAGAAAAGATGAATTTTTGGTGGTTTTGGAAGTGGAGATGCATTATATTCCCCCAATTTATGAGTCAAAAATTGATTAGACAAGAAGTTTAAGAAACAAGTAGTAAGATTTTTATGACTTGAAACTTATAATGTTGGACATACCAAACATTTGTGAGACTATAAAAGCTTGTATTAAGGGTAACATGAAAAGTTTAAGTTAATAATCTGTTTCCAAATTTTGAAGGCATCATTCTTTTGGAAAGGAGGGAATATGAAAATTTTACTCCATTATAGTGATATTGTAAAATTGTCTCTTTATTAAAGATGGGGAATTTTGTGAAATTTTTGGAAATATGGGGACTTTTGAATACGATTGTTTGTTGGGAAATTTTGAAGTTGAGATGCGTTATGTGAATTTGAGTTGAAGTTGTTGAAGGAGCCTGTAAAGTGGAGACTCAAAATCTTCTAATGGACTGGCGTTGAGAAGTTAATACTGCATAAAAAATTGGCTTAGGATGTGAGAAGTATGTCTATCTACTTGAATGTGAGGATGATATCTGAAACTTTAAGTTTTGGATCTTGCATTATTCAAGCCTTAGTTGTTAGTGTACTACTATGTTGTAACAATAGGCACATATGTTCTTTTTGACAAGAACAAGAGCCATACTTGTTAAGTTGTTAAAGTTGGAAAGATGGTAGGAAACTTTAATCTTTTTATTGTAATTAATAATAGTAGTTCGACCAGTTTGTGCGCGCCTCAACTATTCCACAGGGGACCATCTTCCCATCAGCACAAGTATTGGGTAACTCTACTCACCAAGCTTGGACGGATGGAAAAAAAATTCAATCTTTCATTTGAAATCTTCATAAACAGGGGAAATGCATCTTGTAGCAATGGATTAAGACGGGGAAAGTGTGTGTTGTTACGATGAAGTCTATGAACCACTTAATGTGGCCAAATTCGCGTACACTCCTGAAGTCCTCACTTGCGCACATATGTGGATGTGGATGAATGTATTTGTTTTTTTATCTTTTATTTTCATTATAGTGTTTTTAACTATGATTTGCCAATTTGGCTATCTGCAGATAGCGAGATATATTATGCTAATACTTTGGACAATTCATCACATTCTAAGTTGAGATGGAAAAGTTAACGTTTCTTTTCGTTAACAAACTTTGAGATACTGTTTTATTTTTGTTTGTTGAAATGAGTAGTCATTGGCATCTTGTGGAAATCTTAATATTGATAGATAGCTTTGTGTTTCTTCCCCTTTTCGAGAACAAGTCATGTGGCTTTGCTTTTCACTTCATACTAGTGTATTGTAGTACTAAAAAGGTAGTTCTATATTATTCAGGCGCATCGAGTAGCCCACAAGCTTTGGACTCAATCCCGAAGGCCACTTGCACTTGCTCTTCAATCCCGAATCTCTGATGTTTTTGCTGTTGACATCCATCCAGCTGCTAAAATCGGAAAAGGTATCCTCTTTGATCATGCAACAGGAGTGGTGGTTGGCGAGACTGCAGTTATTGGAAACAACGTGTCAATTCTTCACCATGTAACCTTAGGAGGGACTGGTAAGATTGGTGGTGACCGGCACCCTAAGATTGGGGATGGTGTGCTCATAGGTGCAGGTGCCACAATATTGGGCAACGTGAGGATTGGTGAGGGGGCCAAGATTGGCGCTGGATCAGTGGTATTGATTGACGTGCCACCACGGACAACTGCAGTTGGGAATCCAGCAAGGTTGGTTGGAGGGAAGGAACAGCCAACTAAGCATGAGGAATGTCCCGGAGAGAGTATGGATCATACATCTTTCATTTCTGAATGGTCTGATTACATCATATGACTTGCATCCCTCATGTATGCTATATCTGCAAAGTGAACAAGAAGTCGTCTCGGAACCTAGCAGAGAGGACAAAGGTTCAATCTTAACGCTACTGACTGTTAAACATGCTCTTTGTGCTAGTCCAACAGTCCAGAGTGCAAAGAACTTTAATCTATCTTTTCTTTTCAGTAGTTTTTCTGTTTTTCTACATTTACATGTCTGTCTGAGAGGGTTGAAGGCTCTTGTTTTTATGCAGAGACTTCTGCTTGGGGTCGCCTTACAGCAAGTTCCCTTTGATGGCACAAATATAGTACTAATGTATTATGAGTTCAGTATCTACTCGTTGCTGGTCTTCCTAGGCCTTAAAAACTGGTGAAATTAACTGTACGAGCACTGTCCTATTATTATTGTTATCATTATTGCTTCATTATTATGTAATTGTATAATAACAAGGTATCTATATGTTGGCTGATATTTCTAAATTATGGTTGATTTCAGTATTCGATAAATTTATTTGTGCAATTTATATAATCCACGAAAAATACTGTTAAAACGGTTATTACCCTCAATGTTTAAGGTTTGACTTAATTACACTTAGTATACCAAATTACCAATTCTATACCATAATTAATTAAGGGTATAATTAATTGTACATTTTTTACTCCTTAATTAAAGGAATTTGCACGTTTCTCTCTCCTAACCCCTCAGTCCCACCCACGTTTTACCCATACCCACGTTCTTTTTACCATTTTCCATCTTCTGAAACCAAATTCTCCCTCTAAATTCACAGAAAATTGAAGAAACCCTTCAACAAAGTTGGTTCCCCATTTTACTCCAGTTGAAGTTCATCAATGAAGAACAAAAAAGTTTATCAAAATTGAAGTCAAATCTTCAAAGTTCATACATACATTTACCTTCAGCTTCAAATTTTCTCAATGAAGAAGAACAAACCTTCAAAGAGACAAGAGAGCAGCAATTCCACCATTGACAGCCATTAAAAAGCTTTGAAGCTTTGAATTCAAATTTGGGTTTTCAAAAATCATTATTTATTTTGATTGGGTGTTGTTGAAAATAATTGGGAATATATTTTGGAGTTTATATCTCAATTTTTGAGGGGTTTTTGGTGAAGATTGGACTTGGTTTTGACTGAAATTCAGATTGAAACTCGAAGAAGAAGAAGAANAGAAATTGATTCCTGGGCTTCCACAATGAGCATTGCTTTACGTTTCAGTTGTGTAGAATAGGTATGGTTGTAATTCAAGAAGTATGGTTGTATTGTATGAAGGGTAATATGCAAACTATGAATACTTCTTTGAAATTCAAGAAGTATGGTTGTATTGTATTTAAAGAGGCGTGAATTTGTAGAATAGGTTGAATGTGAGGAATGAGTCAAATAAGACTCACAATGGCTTATTTTCTACATTTAATATACAACAAAACTACATATAATTTGAAAAATTAATATGAAAATACAGAATTTCAATGTTTTTACAACTTATCTACAAAATATCTACAAACTGGATACATTGAATTTTAATATCCCAATTCCCATTTCAATTGTAGCATAATTGTGATTTTTGACATAATTACGTTTTTTCAGAAGATTTGTAGAAGTTTTAGTCGTTTTTGATTTGTGAAAACAGAAAACAAAGCATCTACAATCATAATACAAATAATCTACAAAATATCTACAATTTGTCTACAATTTATCTACAATTTATCTACAATTTATGCACTATGTCTTTTTCTTCTTCTTCTTCTTCGAGTTTCAATCTGAAATTCAGTCAAAACCAAGTCTAATCTTCACCAAAACCCCTCAAAATTGAGATATAAACTCCAAGCCATATTCCCGATTATTTTCAACAACACCCAATCCAAACAAATAATGATTTTTGAAAACCCAAATTTGAATTCAAAGCTTTCAAGCTTTTTAATGGCTATCAATGGTGGAAAATATCTGGAAGAATATTTACTTCCATAATTGTAGCGCGCCTAAATAGGAATATCTGGAAGAATATGATTTGATCTGATTTACGCCAAATCTTTTTAGAATATTCTGTTCTCAATTTTAGCTCGACAAATTAGGAAGATTCAGCTACTATTAATTAGTATTTAATGATCGGTATAATAACTGTAGAAAAAATGTGACCAGGGCGGGTAAATTAGAAACTATGCATATTTTTGGTAATAAGGTTTCATATATGGTATAAGAAAGAAAAAATCTGTATATTAAAGCAAATGAATTATCCATGTCCGAGAGCCGTTATCTATATTTGTGGACATTTGTGCGTCTACGTGGAGCTCTTGATTTTGTTGAAAACATGCCCACTAAGCTTATAAAAAAAGAATGAGAGGCCATAATAAATTTGGCATCCAATAAATAAAATAGATGACTATAAGGCATATCATACGTATCAGCTTGACTTCGTTCTGAATGGAGGAGCCATTCTGGTGGACACATGCATGTAGGAGGACTGTTGAGTACATAAGCTAAAAGCCTAAAAGACAGCGACTAAATGTTTTATTATTATTTTTTTTTTGAAAAAAAGGGCAGTCCGATGAACAAAATATTCCGCGTTCACGTAGGATCCGAGAAAGGGCCGTACCCAAGGGAGTGTGCTATAGGGAACCTACCCTGATACAAACACCAGTAGCTGATTCCACGATTCGAACTCATGACCTATAAGTCACATGGAGATAACTTGACCGTTGCTCCAAGACCGTGATCATTTTTTATTATCAATGAGAACTAAAAAAATAATTGTACTTAAACAACAGCAGTTCTCTTGGTTCTACTATGAATACATCACAAAAATGGAATTTAAAGAGTAACACATAGTATTCCTAACAAGCTTAGGTCATTAAACTTTTCTATCAAATCATAAGATGCCAGAATGAGGCATTGCTTTACAACAAGTTAATATACATCATTGCAACATGACCTCGTATACAGATGATTGATATAGAGGATTTATAGCCAACCCAAATCAATCTGGGATTAAGGCGTCAAGTGATTAAACCTCAGTGTATATACTGAATGCCTGGATCCTACGTAAATTCAGGAGGAACTTGCCGAGTTGACAATTTATTGTAATGAAGAATCATGCCTACTATGTTAAAGAATGGAAATATACAAACTTCAGCAGCCCCCCAAGATGGCGCGTTTGCCAAAATCGAACCGTGGCAATTTCTGAGCCCAAGGACGATTCGTTAAGATTGTCAAGACTGCATAGTGGATGGTTGATTATTTCTGCTACTAGTGACAACTTGTACGACAGCATCATCTCGCGATGGTACTCTCAGATACGCTTTCATCATATCATAAACTGTAAATCCAATCGCAACAGATGGTACAACCTTATTTTCAAACATAGGGTAGTCATCAGTTTAGACAGTTACCGTAATAGATACTAAAAAGGCAATAAGGGTCAGATGATGTATCGATATGTTCGTACCTTCAGATAGTTGAGGCTAAGCCCGGAAAATAGTTGTTTCCATCCGTGTCTTTGCACAATCATAACAAGAGTATCAGATGTTCCTTTCATTTCATGGCTGTTTGATGCTGAGAGTCGCTGAACCTGAAAAGTTCATGCACTCTCTGTCATTCCATTGCCACAAAAAAAAAAAAAAAAATAAATAAATAAATCTTCAACGTCTTCGTGTGACCTATAGGTCATGGGTTTGAGCCGTGGAATCGGCCATTGATGCTTGCATCAGGGTAAGCTGCCTATATCATACCAACTTGGGGTGCGGCCCTTCTCTGGACCCTGCGTGAATGCGGGATGCTTTGTGCACTAGGCTGCCTTTTTTTTTAATACAATCTCACTAAAATTACCTGCATTTGCCGCCTGACAACATCTAAAGGATAAGTGAAAGTTTGACCTAGAAGTCCTGCAACAGATCCACATGCTAGTTTTGTAGCGATATCCTTCTTGCGCTCCTTAGGGACATGGCTCTTCATTTTCTCGTAGAAGTAAAATTTTAACCCGGCATATGGAAAGATTCCATAAAGTGACGGGGCTGAAACGCGACATACAATATTACTTTATAAGACTAGCCAATAACCGTAAATACAAAGTATAGTAAGGCAATGCACTTACCAACACCACGGTATAGGCCTTTAGTTCCAGCCTCCTTGTATGTCTTTGAAAAACAGTCCTTTATTCCTTTATAAACTTGTTCACCAGTAACGAGCCCTTGTACGTTTAAGTTTTGGGATCCAACTACCTAGCTGATCATATGCCAATCAGTCCTCAGTTGATCGTGGAACAGTAAAGCGAATTCAACTCAATTTCATTAGACTAGCAAAGTCAAGCTAGAAAGAAGTTGGAATTAATCAAGACACCAACTTTTCTACTATGGGTCTATCGGAAATAGCCTCTCTACCCTCCTAGGGTAAGGGTAAAGTCTATGTACACACTATCATTCTCACACCCCACTTGTGGGAACTCACCAAGTTTGTTGTTGTTGTTGCCAACTTTTCCACTGTGCTTTCAGACGGAGGAGATATTGGGTGATAGGGAGACGGACAAAGTGATTTCAGATGGGAAAACAATGAAAGAGTATGTCTTTATGTTTCTCACCTGGTAAGCCAATTTCGTTCGAACTAAATCAAGTGGATAAGTAAAAAGTACAGCAGTTCCACCAGCAAATGATCCTGCTATGAGATCTAGAATCGGACCGGTCCCAACTCCAGGAATTCCATTTATAATCCAGCGGCGGTACTCTTCGTAGGCCATGTAATGCAATGCTGCATATGGGACGATGCGAGCAACACTAGCTCCATTTCCCCTGAAAGAGGAATTCCAGCAAAAATACATTTAAACTTAAGATGAAGTTATCTAGACAGTTTCTTTTTTTTAGACAGTTAAATTGACGAACAAATACTGCATCTACACCTGAAAAAACCAGGCGCTCCTTCTGTCTTGGCTATCTTTGTAAAGGATCCAAACAGCCCCAAACTCCGAAATTCAGCTTGTCTGGTCTAGGAAAAAGAAATTTAAATATAAGGAATTTAATTTTTCTGAATTCAAGAATTCATGCTTACTCTTGATAATATTTTCCACTTTCTAATATTCAATATTACCAATCTTTTCTAGATTCTAGAGCTCATTTCTGGTCATATTATTCTTCCATATTGTAATATCAGCAGCCGCTAATGCTTGCATTAAGGTAGGCTGTCTACATAACATCCCTTAGGATCCGGTCCTTCCCTGGACCCTGCGTGAATGCGGGATACCTAGTGCACAGGGCTGCCCTTATTGTAACATCAGCAGCATAAAGCCTACATATTGTTGGGCACATCTCTGAATCTAATTTAAGGTAGGTCTGACTAACAACCATTGACGTAAAAACAAAGGTCTCTCTGAAAAGAACGCAAAAGAATGGAACGAATAAGTAAAATAACTTTTTTCAACCATGAGCTCCACCATTGCCATCTTTAAGCGTCTAGTTTCCCTTATCTTTGTGCTCTTACAGATCAAACTATATCCCGTCCAATGAACGTCAATCAAACTAAAAAGCTAGCTGCACTGCGGGCACTTTAAGTAAGAAATATCAATCAACTACGTCTTAATCCTAATTTAGTGGGATCTCTTATATGAATACTTAGTATCCATACCTCTCATAAGGAGAGTCAGAGCCAAGATTTGAAGTTTAGGGGTTCTGAACTAGATACCGAACTCGTAGCTCGTCTTAGTTATTGGGTTCTTAATTAAATATTTATACATATTTAATGAATTTTATAATACAAATACAGGTATAAGCAAAAGCTATTGGGTTCGTCCGACCAAGTAGTTAATGATCTAGCTCTGTCCCTGCTCATAAGGTCTCCCTCTAATTCACTATTAGGAAGGGGGAAAAAGTGTGAACAAACCAAAATCATGAAGGGTGAATTCGAACTTCTCTCTCTTGATCATCACGAAAGATCAAACAACAACACTTACGCCTCAATCACAAACAAGTTGGGGTCGTTATGTGAATACTCACTGACCACGCTCCCCATTTAAAATCATTTCAGGCATCAAGAAAGATCAAACTCTGAGGAAAAATGCACTTTGGAACTCATGTCAACTACTGCAATTAGTTCCATATAAGCAAATTGTTCAGTTTAACTGATAAAACTTAAAATAAATCACTAAAAGAAAATATATAAGAGAAATTAACGCCAAAAAAAAAAAAAAAATAGCCGATATATATTAGTACATAATTTAGTATATAATATATGTATATTGGTTAGGGGATGTATATATTTTTGCCCGAGCGACCAAATGTGTAACTTTCCCCAAGAATAAACCCCAAAAAAGGCCAAGAAATAAAGCACACATAAATGGAAAAAATCAAAACTTTGAGCCCCAAAAGCACAATTGAATCAAAGAGTTAAAAAAAACCAAGAATTTGCTAAAATTTGATACCTGAAATAAAATCTTGATACGCTCAAAAGGGGCAACAGCAGTTTTAGCAAAACCACCAGCTACACCTCCAGCTATAAGTTCTTTAGCAAATAAAGGAATTCCCTCTATAATTCCATCCCAAAATTCATTCTTCTCACTTTCTTCTCTCTGTTTAGCCATTGAAAACAAAACTCCTTTAGAGAAAAATACAAAAAATGAGAGAATTATTAAAGATGTTAATGGAGTCTAGTTCTGTAGCTGTAGTGAAAGTGAAAACCGCTTTGGTTTTTGGCTGTTAGAAAAATAGCCAATTAATGAAAGTTGCGGTTTTTGTACATCTGACAAGTCAGACTGGCCAACCAAACGCTAACAGGGATTATAACATGAATAATATATAGACGGGTATGGAAAAATTCTTGGCAGGAAGCGCTTCTTCCCGAATGGACTCTATGCCACAAAATAGGATATAGTCGAACCCAATGCGGATACTGGATACCGTGTGGGAAACCAAAAAAAATAATAATATGGATAATTTATTTACGTGGGAATAAAAATAATTGAAGTTAACTTATATCATTAGGTCATATTTACCTATAACAATTTGTTTGGATGGTTGTTAACTTGTTATGTCTTGTATCGTTGGTATTGTTAATTTATATATAATATTTATTTATATTATTATTATTATTTTAATTTTATTATATCGTATCATTAAATCAGTTATTACGTAACGATGAAAAGACCCCTTTCATGTAACAATTGATTTAGTGTGATCGTGTCATTATCTGATTTTTTTTCTTATCTTCGCCTTACTATAATTATATTTTACTCTTTCTACCTTTTTAATACTTACTCTACCTCATACTTTTTTTTTTTTGTATAATATTGTACGCCTGTTCTTCAAATTCATGGTGTGTGATATTATAGACGACGGACAAAGACAATCCATACAATAAGATATGATACACTAAGAATGTATATGTAACAACCATTCAAACGAACTGTAATTACTTTTAAAATTACAAATTTCGCATCTTAAGGAGGTTTATGTATAAATATTCTTTAGATAATATAAGAAGTTATTTACATTGACGAAGTATATGATAATGACATGAAATTGATATGTAGGACAATAATAAGGATATTTTTTCATTTTAAGTAATAGAATATCTGTATTGTTAAAATACGTATTTCTATACAAGGGAAAATGTATAGTTACCCCCTTGACCTATAGCCGGATTTTCAATTACACACTTTATCTTTACGGGAATCCTATTATCCCCTAAATTATTTTTAAATAAAATTACTATACCCTTAATGCTGATGTGGCAGAAAAGAGTGTATGCCACTCTCCTTGGGAGAGTGAGAAAGAGAGAAAATGCTGAAATTTTATTTTTATAAAATTTTTATAATTAAAAATATAGGAGTACTATTTTCTATTTTTTCTTTTCTCTTGTTTTTATTTTTCTTTTTCTTTTCTTTCCTCCAATTTTGTTACTTATAGTGGCCGGAAATTAGCCCCGACATTCTCCATTTTTTCTGGCGAGATTTTATTCTTTCCTCTACATATTTCATTACACTTTATAGAGGACTACTGCTATTTCTAATCTCTTCATTCACCACTTTTAAACTTTCAATTGAATTTGTTTCTCACAAAAAGGAATGAAAAAATCCTGTCCCAATATCAATTTTCGATTAAACCCGGAAGAAGCCTAGAAAAGACTGAACAAGAAAAAGGTTTTTGATTATTATTTGCAAAAAATATTCTCGCCATGCCGATTGGGCTTTCGACTTTTCACTGCTTTAGGTAGTGAGGTGGTTTTTTTTAATTGAAGAAATTTACATAAAAGAGAAAGCAAGGAAGAACAATTTGGTTGTTGATTGTTGATTATTAGAAAGTTTTCGAGGAGCTCACAAGTTTTCTATCTGCTTCTTCAACCAAAAAAATTTCACTACTTCACTTGTGGGTTGGGGGATAGGAGAAGGTGAGGTGTGTGAAAAGAAAAAAAAAATATTAAAAAATACAAAAAGCGAGTTGGGAGAGGAAGTAGATGGAAAAAAAACAAGAAAAAAATATTTTTAGTGGGAAATACATGTGTCAGGCACGTGTATTTCACCACCAAACACGAATGTTGTAATGACATTTCAGGATGATACTAATTTCATTTAAAAATAGTTTAGGGGGGTAATTTGTCACGACTCGGATTTCCCACCATCAGAGTCGTGATGGCGCCTACTCGTGGTAGCTAGGCAAGCCAACTTAATTACCTTTCCATCACTAGCAATTATCTTTAACAGTTTATAACATCAATATAGAACATAAAGTCTAATAAGAACAATAGCGGAAGTCTGTCTTAAAATGATGAATTTAAAACGCGGAATAGTCAAAAAACAACCTCTACCCAAGATTTGGTGTCACATTACTCACGAACCACTAAGAATAAACTAAATACAAAGGTCTGAAAGAAATATAACAGCTGTCTGTCTCGAAACAATGAGGCAACAGTCTAAAAGAAAACAATGAGAAGAGACGTCGGGCCTGCAGACGCCTGCAAGGCTACCTCAGTCTCGTGAATATGAATCGCCTGCTTCCGAACTACTGCTGCTGCTGTTCCTCAAAACCTGGACCTGTGCAAAAATGCACAGAAGTGTAGCATCAGCACAACCGACCCCATGTGCTGGTAAGTGTCTAGCCTAACCCCGGCGAAGTAGTGACGAGGCTAGACTGGACACCACATAAACCTGTGCAGTTATAGATATACAGCGGAAATCGAATACAAAGAAATTACCAACATGGGAGGGGAAACATGCTATGGGGAGTTACAATAATAACAATAATCCAGAGTAACAACTAAAGCAACTTAGGTTCACAGTGAACAAGGAATCAATACTCAAATGTAAACACATAGCCTCAATAATTGTTGCGGCGTGCAACCCGCTCCATGATTACCATTGTTGCGGCGTGCAACCCGCTCCACAATATCATTGTTGCGGCGTGCAACCCGACCTATATCACTTATCATATATCATTGTTGCGGCGCGCAACCCGATCCTCATATGTTATTGTTGCGGCGCGCAACCCGATCCTCAACATCATTGTTGCGGCGCGCAACCCGATCCTCAATATCATTTAACAGTCTGACTTCCCAAACAACAGTCACAATTAAGGGGCATAAAATAAGCAAATATTTGACAACCATCCCGGCAAGGGAAAGAATCCAACAAGTTCAACCAAACGTCCCGACAAGGGAATAATCAACAACGCTTTCTCTTTCTTACTTTCCTTATCTTATAATTCACTTTACTATTTTGAGCCAACGCTCCAAAGAATCAAGTCATTTCGTGTACTTCCAATATTCGTATCGCAATTCGAGCCAATGCTCCAGGAATCAAATGATCCTATTACCGTTCAAGTAAGTAAGACGAAGCTGAAATTTTATTATTATTTTCAACAACCATTACATTCAGCTTGAAAAGGCCCTCAGTGAGGTAACCTTTTCCTACAAACGTTTCATTCTTACTTATTACAACCTTATCGCAAACAAAAACACATTTAAAACCATTCTTAACAAGAAGTCCAGTAGAGACTAAATTCTTCCTAATCTCGGGAACATGAAGGACGTTATTCAAAGTCACCACTTTGCCGGAAGTCATTTTGAGAAATATCTTCCCACATCCTTCAATCTTCGCCTTTGAAGCATTTCCCATAGAAATCGTCTCATCAGGTCCAACAGGAGCATAAGAAGCAAAAGCTTCTCTAACAGCCAAACATGCGAGTGGCTCCAGAATCAATCCACCACTCTTTAGGAATGCCCACCAAGTTGCATTCGGAAAGCATGGCACATAAATCATCAACATCATCATGCTTTTCAACCATGTTTGCTTGACCCTTCTTCTTGTCTTTCTTCGGAGCACGACACTCCGTAGATTTGTGTCCAGTTTTTCCACAGTTGTAGCAGTTTCCACTGAACCGCTTCTTGCTTGGGTTGTATTTCGGTCCAGAATCCTTCTTCCTCTTTTTGTTCTCTTCAACAATATTTGCTCCCATTATTGTTGAGTTTCCACGGCCTCTCTTTTCAGCAGCTTTGTTGTCCTCTTCGATTCTCAACCGAACAATGAGATCTTCAAGGGACATCTCCTTGTGTTTGTGTTTCAAGTAGTTTTTGAAGTCCTTCCACAAAGGAGGCAACTTCTCAATCATTGCTGCTACTTGAAATGCTTCATTGATGACAAGACCTTCAATGAAATTTCTATTAGTAAAAATACTAAGATTATTACTTTCAACATCAATATTAATTTGATTTGTACCTTCAGCAAGGAGATCGTGAATAATCACTTGCAATTCCTGGACTTGGATAATAACAGACTTGCTATCTACCATTTTGTAGTCCAAAAGCTTTGCAGCAACAAACTTTTTCAACCCGGCATCTTCGGTTTTGTATTTCTTTTCAAGCGTAGTCCACAGTTCCTTTAACGTTTCCACGCCACTGTAGACGTTATACAAAGCATCCTCCAGCCCGCTTAGAATATAATTCTTGCACAAAAAATCTGAATGCTTCCACGCCTCAATCACGAGAAAGCGTTCAGTTTCTGGAGTTTCATCGGACAGCACTGGAACATCTTCCTTGATGAACTTCTGGAGACTTAGAGTAGTCAAATAGAAGAACATCTTTTGCTGCCAGCGTTTGAAATCAATCCCGAAAAATTTTCCGGGTTTCTCCGCCGGTGCCAATGCTCCCGGTGTCGTTCGGCTTGTTGAGGCATTGGCAGTCACCATTGGAACAGCTTGGTTCTCATTCTCATTAGTCATTTCTGTAAAGAATGACACAAACGTTAAAATCACATAGATTCTAATAGAGTACAAAACCACAAAGGTTTTACTCTTCCAGAAACAGTAAGTACAAATACAGAAAATATATTAAATTCCTTAAGTTTGTTAGTAGACTGTATTTGTAAAATAATTCTGGAAATATAAATGAATATAAACATAAATGAACATAAACATAAATGACATAAAACCAATTCGAGCCCACTGAATTCACAGTGTTTCCTTAAGGAATTTAAT